CTGGTGTGTCACTGGAGTGTTACGGGAGTGTTACTGGGGTGTAAATGGTGTGTTATTACTGTAACTGGCGTGTAACGTGTGTTACTGGGGTGTTACTGGGGTGTAAGTGGCATGTTGTTGGTGTTACTGGAGTGTCACTGGTGTCATTGGTGTGTCACTGGTGTCATTGGTGTGTTACTGGGGTGTAAGTGGTGTGTTATTGATGTTACTGGTATAACTGGTGCGTCACTGGAGTGTTATGGGGGTGTTACTGGGTGTAAGTGGGGTGTTAGTGCTGTAACTGGCATATTACTGGTGTGTTACTGGTGTGTTACTGGGGTGTAACTTGCATGTTACTGGTGTTACTGGAGTGTCACTGGTATGTTACTGGTGTTATTGGCATGTTACTGGTGTGTAACTGGTGTGTGACTGGTGTGTGACTGGTGTTACTGGGGTATAAGTGGTGTGTTATTGGTGTAGCTGGCATGTTGCTGGTGTATTACTGGACTGTTACTGGCATGTTACTGGGGTGTAACTAGTGTGTTATTGGTGTTACTGGTGTGTTATTGGTGTTACTGGTGTATTACTGGGAGTGGAGTGTGTCAGGGATGTTCCACTGGGTGGTTAAATTATTGAATAATCCCAGTTGTGCTGGCACCATTTGGAGGGCTTTTCCAACCCCAGCGATTCCCTGATTCCCATCCCCTGCTGTGGGGGGTCTGTGTTACCTCTCCAGAGAGCTGCTCGTTCCATTGCCATCATGTTCTGTGTCTTTATCCCTTTCCAAACCTTCCGGGAAGGGTTTCGTTTCCGAGCCTGGAAAATGAAACTGGATTCATTTCTCTCCGTACGGATGCAGCAAGGGAGCCTGAAGTAAACTCTGTGTGCAGAACTTGGGATAAGCTTGGGCACAAATGTCACGTTTCTTGGAGCAGAACACCCACAGGGACTGTTCCTTTAAGGAAATAACCATTTCCAGCTGCCCAGGAGAGGCGGAAGGGAAGCCTGGGCTGGTTTCTGCTGAGCTCACCGGGCTCAAACGGCTCCTTTATTGCACTCCCAGGGTTGCAACACCTCCCTTTCAGGCCTCAAACCAGCACCAACGTGATGGATGCCCTTTGCTTTCTGTAAGAGGATTTCTGGAAATGCAGGCAGTGCCCTCCTGGCACAGGCTGGGAATCTTCTGGGCCGGGAGAGGCACTGGGAAACAAGAGATCGACCCCACGGCCCCCCTGTTTCTGATGGTCTGGTTTTTCTGTGCCCTTACAGTAGGAAGGAATTCTTCCCTGGGAGGGTGGTGAGGTGCTGGAATGGATTTCCCAGAGAAACTGTGGCTGCCCCATCCCTGGAAGTGTCCAAGGCCAGGTTGGATGGGGCTTGGAGCAACCTGGGCTAGTGGGAGGTGCCCCTGCCCATGGCAGGGGTGGAATGAGATGGGGTTTAAGGCCCCTTCCAACCCAAACCAGTCTGGGAGTCTGTGGTTCTTGACTCCCTGAGAGCTGCCAATCCCTCCTGGCCCTGCTGAGGGGCTCTTTGGATCCGTGGTGTTTTCTGGGGGCCTGAGGAGTGCATCCTTTTTCTCCCTTCCCTCCTCATTTGGAGCCTTTCCATGCCAGGCCCACCTGGTATCTCCCAAGTGAGTTTTTCTTTTAGGAAGGTTTGGTCTTGGCTACTTCCAGCCATTTAATATAGTGAGTTTACACAGAAAACAGTTCTGCAAAGGGGTGGATTTTAATGGATTTCATTCCTGACTTTTGTAACCACTGGGGAGGGATGTCTCTGACAGGTTTGTGTTACTAACAGGAGTAACACGAGTGTTACAGGGCTGGGGAGATGCTGCTCAGGGAGAAAAATGCTCCTTGTTCATCTGTTCTACTTCATTTAGGCCCTTCTGCTCTAACTGGGGGCTTTGTCATGGCAGAGCAAGGGCTGTTGTCTCCTGAGTAAGGTGAGGGAATCCCGGGAATTGAGGGTTGTGGGATCCTACAGTGACAGTGGGTGTCACCTCACTGGGGTGAGTCCTGCAAATATCCAGTATTAACTGAGTGCAGACGTGTGGCAGTTGTCTAACTCACTTTATAATCCCTCAGCTGCCCTGCTCTGGGAGTTAAGGTTTCCCTCTGCTCTGTGGGCTCTGCAGCCCTGAGGTCTCTCGTGGTGTGTGTGACAGGGGGAGGCTTTGGGGCTGTGTTTCCTTGGACAACTGCTCCTTTATGCCAGCCCTGCTGGGGGGCTGCAGCGGGCAGACGTGCCTTTCCTGGTGCTGGGCAGTCACCTGATTGCTCAAGAGGCTTAGTTGTGTTTGTGGTTCCAGGCTGTGACCTGGTGTTGCACCATGGGCCTGGTGCAGCCTGGCCTGGCCAAAGCCTCTGTGTCCTGGTGGATCCAGAGGGACAGGACTGGGCAGGGAATTCCCTCAGGTTCCTTAGCGCTGCTGCTGCTGTAACTGGTCACAAATTGTTCTTCCTTGTGTTCTTCCTTGTTGGCAAAACTGGGATTGGTGGCAGCTGCAGAGCTCAGGTGTGGAGTGAGTGGAAGCTGGAACAAAGTGCAGTTCGTGTCCTCTGGATAAATCAAAGCTACCGTGGCAGGGGGATGAGTTTAAGCTTGTACAGAATCTCTCCTGAAGGCCAGGACAGTTGAACTTATTATTTTTTGGGCCACAGTTGTTGCTTTTTGGCTGGGAAAATGTGCTCTCCGTGGTCTGGTCAGACAGGAGGGAGCCGAGGTCTGTGATCAGCAGAAACCAGGGCCAGCTGTGTGGTGACAGTTAATCCTTGCTCGGTACCAGATCCCAATCCCAGAATCCCAGAGTGGTTTGGGTTGGAAGGGGCTTTAAACCCCATCTCATCCCACCCCCTGCCATGGGCAGGGACACCTTCCACCAGCCCAGGTTGCTCCAACCTGGCTGTGGACGTTTCCAGGGCAGCCACAGCTTCCCTGGCTGTGTTGCTGCCTTTCTCTGGGCTGTGAGCAGCATTTAACATGATTTTTCTGAGGTTTAGTTTTGTTTCATCCTTGTAAACTCGTTGGGTCTGGTTTTTGCCTCATCCTCTGTCACAGCTTCTTCAGGTGGAGGTTCCTGCAGGAACGTTCCAAAGAGTTGCTTATTCCTTTTTATGTGTCAGCTCTGAGTAATCTCCCCTTTGGCTCTTTTTTCAGCTCAAAATGCTCCTGTCTTAAATAATATTGTGAGCATCAGGTTGAACTTTTGGTCTCTTTAGGTCTGTGGAGGGGGGGGACTTGTGATTAGTAACTTACTCATGCTTAACTAGGGGTAGGTGAGCCTTGCCTTGGAGCACTTGTTGGTGACCCTCACACTCCAATCTCTACACCCCCCTGGTTTGAAGAGCTGAGAGGTCAGCAGAATATCCCTGGGATCTGCTTGTCCTGCTCTAGTGCAATCAGTGTGTGGTTGATTCAGCAACTTAAGACTGGCTTAGAAATGAGCCCAGCCCAAAGGCCAGGCTGGCAGTGCCAAAGGTGGCAGGATGGCAGAGCTCAGGGCTGCTCACCCCCCTGCATGGGTTGGGAGTGTGCAGGTCACTCGGCCTGGGAGCTCTTTCAGGGCAGATTCCTGGAAGGAATTAGGAATTTGGGGTAGCGGGGCAGCCCTGGAATGCTCTGGCAGGTGGGCTCAGGGAGGGGTTATATTTTCTAAGAGGCTTTGCAGTGACTTGGCTCTGCCTGTCATGGGATGTTCTTGGTAGATCCAGTGTTGCAAGAGATGTTGGCAGTGGGTTTGTGAACTCCTTGAAGGCCCTGGCTGTAAACTGGGAGCACTGGAGTTTCACAGGCCTTTGCTTAATCAACTCTTAATTGTTCCATGTATGAGAAGAGCAGTGAGGAGCAGAGTCCTGTGAGAGCCCCAACCCCAACTGGACCCCGGGTCTGACTTGGGGGGTCACCTGCTTTGCTGCTTGAAGGTATTACTTCCTCTTCAAGTATTTTTCCCTGGAAAAAAACCAGTCCTGAGCTTGTGGAGTCAGTGAATGTCTGTTCTGGCTGTGTGGAGTCAGACCAGCTCTGGCTGGGGGGAGTGGAAGAACAGGAGAAACTCGTGATAAATTCTGCTCCAGGGTGATATTTGTTTGATGGTGATTCTTTTCCTCCATCAACTGTTTTTTCTGGCCTCATGTGAACACTTTTCCTCCCTGATAACCTGTGGGAACTCTTCAGGGGATGTGTTGTGTGAAGAACTTGCCTCTGCTGGAACCTGTTCTTGACCTTTGTTTCCATATCTGTTGCAGGCAGTGAGTGATCACCACTTTCTTCCCTGCTTTATATTGTTTCTCCTTGGATATCTTTGTGCTGAGGAGTTTCCTTAGGGAGTGTGTCAGGGGAAAGGTGTTCCCTTGCTTTTCCAGGTCCTGTTACCTCCACAGCCATCTTCAGGTGGATATGGATGTTTAATGGACCATGATAAGCACGACTGTCCTTGAAGATCTTACAGAGAAAAGATTTTTGTCAGTGGTTCTGCCAGGCTGGATGTCAGAGGGCAGTGGGACTGTGGGAGGGAACAAACCCAAACCTGGCTGTTTGTCACCTCTTTTTACTGGCATTTGCTGTCGGGGTTAGGTGGGATATTGGGAAGGAATTCCTGGCTGGGAGGGTGGGGAGGCCCTGGCACAGGTTGCCCAGAGAAGCTGTGGCTGCCCCTGGATCCCTGGAAGCATCCAAGGCCAGGTTGGAGCAGCCTGGGCTAGTGGGAGGTGTCCCTGCCATGGGGTAGAACTGGATGGTATCTTTAAGGTCCCTTCCAACCCAAAGCATTCCATGAGTATTCCCTTTGGCAGTGCTGGCTGGGATCACCTCTGTGCTCCCAGCTGGTTGTGGCTTATCCATGGACTCTGTTCTCTGAAGAAATCCAGGAGTTTATTCCTTTCCCCTTCCAAAGCTGAGCTCCAACCTGTGGGAGGTTTGGGAGGGAGATCCCCTGGTTGCTGCTGGCCAAGCCTGGCTCTGGGGAGCTCAGACTGCCCAAGTGAGACCCCCGGGCTGGGGGGGTGGTTGCACCTCACTAATTGAGGGCTGAAGCTCATTAATTGCTGTGTCCCTCCACCCCCTCTGCCACTGGGGCAGCAGTTCATGTGGAAACATCAACTCTCCAGGGCAGATCTGCTTGGACAGGCCTGGGTAGGACCCACCCCTGAGCCAGAAGAGATCAATAAGTCACGTCAGGCAGCGCCAGGGGGATGGAAAGTCTGGCCTGTGCTCCTCAGAGCCTGAAGACAAACCACCCCTTCCCTCCAGTGTCTCTTCCCAGAGAGGTCCCAACTCCTTGGATGCCTTGAAATAGGTGTGTGAAGGTGTTTCTAGACACACAGGTTTCCAGACACGTTTCTAGATGCAAATCAAAGCAGGCAACAAACAGGGAAATGCAAAGTGAAAAATAAGATTTTGGGGTTTTGCAGGGTCAAAGGTCATCCTAAGTCTTTCCCAGGCAGAAAAGAGGCTTATGGGTGTGTGGGCTGAGTGGAGCAGCTGTCACAGCTGTGCTCTGACATGTGGTTTCATGTGTTAAATCTGGGGGCTCACAGTAGATTAATGTGATGATACTTGAGCTGATTAAGTGTGTCCCTTCCCGTGCCAGCAGGGATGTTTTTCCAGCTCTGGAGAGACATATGGAATCATGGAATGGTTTGGGTTGGAAGGGATATTAAAGCCCATCCAGTCCC